GTTGGGTTGGGTTGGGTTGGGTTTCCCTCAGGGGCCCAGTGAGGAGTCACTGGGTACGGGCTTAGCGAACCCGAGGCCGCCTGAGCTCGAGGAGCATACCTCGTTAAAAAACTGGGGTCCGGCTGGCCCGGCCGGTAGCACCCCACAAGGGTACCCACCTGGGTTTACAGGTGGAGGAGCAAACCTCCTAAAAAAACTGGGGTCGCGTAGTCCCGGGCGACAATACCTCACGCAAAGCCCCTGCCGGGATGCAGGGAGCACGGGATAGTGTTTGGTGTTTAGTGTAATGTGGTGTAGCAGTGTAGTCCCTTGTGAGTGTATACCTGCCGGTAGGTTAAAAACGGGGCGTAACCTAGGCGCCTGACATCTGGAACAATGGTTAATGGATGAAAAGCCAGAAGCCTCGGATGGGCCCGCCGGCCAAACAGTGTCGCGGGCTACGCATGGGGAGGGGTCGACCCCGCGTGATTACACAGACTACTGCATACAAGGCTCTGCAAGCCAGAGCATAGAGGGCTACGTGTTTAGACGTAGCACCCTCATTGGCCGCTCTCCAACTAGGTCGGCCGAACGAAAAGAAGAAGCATCGAGTAGTCAAGGAAATACGGAGAAGGAGTTAACACCGTCTGAAGAATCTGAGGAGCCAGACACTGATCTAGACCAGACGTTTGTATCTGCCGAGGAACTAGAAACCAAGACGAGTGTGGGAGAGAAAATGATTGATCTGGTTAGCCCGGAAAAATCGAAGCAATACAATCAACTAGTATTTCCAAGCTTAGACGATTTAGAAGAAAATACACCTTTAAGGGTAAGAAGCTGGTCTCTCGACGGTGGAGTGCTGAGACAGATGAGTATGGAGGAGGAGACGAATAGGGAGAGTAAGAAGAGGAAGATGGTACAGCGTGGAAGCGAAGAGGAGAGAGAGGAAGTAGAGGAAGACACCAGTATGGAGGGAGGAATAAAAATGCCCACAAAAAAAACAAACAGAGAAAGAATGGAAGAAAGCTTAAAGAATAAAGAGCAAAGAAGAGTACAGACTGAAATAAAGACGAATATCACAGAGGAACAACAAAAAATTAATAAACGAGGGAGCGAAGACGAAAAGAGAGAAGTAGATAAGATAGATAGAGAGAAGGAGGAACAGGAAATAAGGAAACGTGCCAAAAAAGTGGATAACAGTATAGAAGAAATGTTGAATCTGGTGAAAGTCCTCCGAAAGCACACCGAACAAAATACCAAAAGAGAAATTAAAGATACGGTAAGAAAAATGGAAAGATTGGCGGTGGTACTAGGTACGAAAGAACTGCTAACGTATGAAGGAACCAGAATAAAGCCGGGGGATGTAAAGGAGATGAAAACACAAGCAACACAAACAGAAAGAGAGAAGGATAGCGATGAGAGAGAAAGGAAGGAGCGAATGGAAAAAATAAGAAACGCGAGATCATTCAAGGAGTGGGAACAGGTAGTAGAACTAGAGTGGGAAGAAGGAAATTATGAAGTGACCAAGATAATAGAGGGAAACCCAGTGTGGCAGCAGGAAATAGATACAAGGGTGGTAATGATTGAGCCAGAAGATATAGAAATGGAAAGAGGCATACAGCGCCAATATAAAAAAGCGTATCCAATACTCGAAGAACTGAAAGAAGAATGCGAAGACGTAGAAATGAGGAAGACGATGAAGGTGAGAGGGGAGAAAAGAGAAATAAGAGAAAGAATAATAAAAATACGAACAGGAAGAACAGAGAAAGAGATTTGGCAGACTTTAATCACCATAAGGAAAAAATCCGAAGGAGAGAGGGAAATTGCGATGCACCACATAACGGGAATAACATTAAAGAAGCTAAGGACAATGACGGATATTATATTTAAGACATCGAAAACAACAGTAAAGATTTACACGACGTTAGCAAGAAGGCAGGAAGAAGAAAAAGACAAACGAGGTAGAGCGTTAAAAGAGGGCAGTGAGGGAAAAAAGAGCGAAAGAGCAACGTACGCCCTGATACTGCAGAGCGAAGGACCGCAAAGAACCTATGAAGAAATGGTGAAAGATATTAAAATACAGATGAAGGGAAGAAAAGAAACAGATGGCAGAGGTGGAACAAGCGATTAGAAAGAGTGCTGGAAGTGGTGTAGAGTTTAAAATGAGCAACTTTACGCCATATGCGAAATGTATGCGAGCGATAACGATCGAAATAGGTAAAGAGGGAGCAGAATGCCTTATGAAGCAAAAGAGAATAAGGGTTGGGTTAACTATGTGCCAGGTCGAAAGGCGAAAACTGATAAGGAGATGTGTGAGATGCTGGTCCACGTCGCATCTTGTTAAAGATTGCACTGGAGAAGATCGAAGCAACAGGTGTTTTAATTGTGGTGAAAGAGGGCACCAGGCCAAGGAGTGTACTAGTGAAAAGAAATGCCTGAATTGTGGAATGATAAGGCACAGCGTAAGTGCGACGGAATGCCCAACAAAAAATAGAGGACCATGGGAAAGAAAGGTGGAAAAAAGAGCGATACCGACACGAGACAAACAACAGAGAGATATCGAAGAAAGAAGAGATCAGAATAGAGAAGAAAGCGATGAGATGGAGGTAAAACGACAAGCAGAGATTACTGAACAACGAAACGAAAAAGAAAAGAGAGTGGAGGAAGAACAACACGAGCAAAGAGTAAACGACGAAGAAAAGAAAGGGAAAAAGAAGGAAGATCTACAATTTAAGAAGGTTGTAGGGAAGAGGACAGGGAACAAAGAGAGCAGAAAGGACACTCAAGGTATCTCAAAGCTCTCCCCGACTAGACAGACAAAATGAAACCATTAAAGATCATGCAGCTCAACTGCAACAGGAGGTGGGACGCCCACGACCTCCTGGAAGCAGCAGCACAGCAACAAGGAGCTGCTATATTGCTCGGCCAAGAACCGAATAAAAGAAGAGCAAAAGACTTAAGGAAGGACAGTAGGGGCGATGTGTTCATGCAGATTATTGGAGACACGATAAGGCCGAAGAGATGGATACAAAAAGAGAGCTTCATGGGCGCGGACTTGGGAGAACTGATGGTTTGGACGGCCTACTTCTCCCCGAACAGACCGGACCAAGACTTTGAGGCGCTACTAGATAATTTGGAAACCGAAATAAGAAAGGAAGGGAAGCCGGTGGTTATTGGAGGAGACTTCAATGCCAGAATGTGGAGTGTAGGAGATGTGTTGCATAATAGTAGAGGACGGCTGCTGGAGGAGTGGCTGGCGAAGAATGAATTAATAGTTGTGAACGAACCGGAAGTAACAACGTACAGGGGACCAAGGGGTTCGTCAGTTATTGATTTGACAATTGTCACTGAAAACATGGCCAACCTAGTACAAACTTGGGAAGTCAAAGAGAATACAGAAGTCCTGAGCGACCACCAACTAATAGGGTTTGCAATTGAGACAACGAGGAGTGAGAGAGAGGAAAAAGAAGTAGGAGAACAAGAAGGCTGGAGGACCTCAAACGTAAAACTACCGCTACTGAAAGAAGTATTTAAGACCAACACAAATACACAACCTACCCCAGAATCCTTAATTCAGGATATCACGGAAGCGTGTGATAAAGTGTTCGAAAGAAGGTCCAATAAGAACAGGGGCAGGCAACCAAAATATTGGTGGACAGACGAAATTGTTGGGTTGGGTTGGGTTGGGTTGGATTGGGTTCCCCGCAGGGGCCTGGGATTTTTCCCAGGTACGGGTATAGCGAACCCGCGGTGCCCGAGCTGGAGGAGCACATACCTCCTTAAAAAAGCTGGGGGCCGTGTGATCCCGGACGGCAGTACTCCATGATATGCCCCTGTCTAGAGATACAGGGGACACGGGAATAAGTGTTTAGTGTTTTGTGTGAAGTGTGGTGTGGTGTAAGTGCTGGGTGTAAGTGTATACCTGCCGGTAGGTTGAAAACGGAGCGTAAGCTAGGCGCTTGACATCTGCAGAAATGGAATAGTGGAAAAAATAGAAACAGCCTCGGAACAGGACCGGGAGGAGGGTAAGGTCGACCCCCCGGCGACTGACAGACCTGTACGACGAATGAGCGATAGTACAACGGAGACTACAGATCTTGAGAGTAGGGAGGATAGATCTCTGTCCCAAGGATGGGATACAGAAGAAAGCCGAGATGGAAAGAGAAAACAAAGAGATAGTTTAGAGAGAGAATTGAAGAGAACGAGAGATGAAACTCAAAAAGAGCAAAAGAGAGAAAAAGAAATGCCTGTTGAAAGAGGAGAGTACAGCGAAGACAGGGCGGAAAGAAGGCTGTCCTTAGACAAAGAGTTAAATGCGGTTGAAATGTTTAAATTAAGGGGTAAGAAAAAAACCGTAAAAAGTACAATAGATGACTTAGTTAAGAAAATGGGTGATATGGTGAATCTAATACAGCAAAATACTGCGGTACCCCTAAAGAACAGTATTAAAGAGATGCAGAGTGCGATGAAAAGTTTCCGGAGGATCTATGAGAGAGAAGAAGGAGAGACAAAGGAAAAAATTGAAATACTGCATAAGCAGTTTGACAGAATGAGAAGCAACATAGATTCGAGAATAGCGGAAGGAAAAAGAAAGAATACAGGTAGAGAAATAGGAACACAGACAGAGACGGAAGAAGAAAGAAAGAGAAGAGACGAAGAAGAAACCAACGACCTAATAGAAAGTGCCATAACCTATGAAGACCTTAAGAAGGTAGAATTATTGGAATGGAAGACAGCATTATAAATGCACTATAGTAATAGAGGGAAACCCTATATGGCAACAACCAAACGAGATAAAGACGAAAGTAGTAATGGTGGAGAGAGAAGAAAAAGATATGAGCAGAGAAATACAACAACAATATAGAAGAATATACCCTGTATTGTCCGAAATAACTGAAACATATGGGGAGATAGAAATGGTTACAAGAACAAAAATAAAAGGGGAAGAGAGAGAAAGAAAAGAAAAGATAATAATGCTGGAAGTAATGGAAGGTGAGAGAGGAGTATGGGATACTGTAAAACTGCTTAAGGATAAGACACTACAAGAGAAAGGATTAGCCTTACACCATGTAAAAGACTGCTCCCTAGATGGCCTTAGAAAAATGGTAGAAATAATATTTAAAGATACAGATAAAGAGATCGATATTTACACAACGACGGCTAAACGAGAGGAAGACCAAAATAGTAAACAAGATAGAACCATGATAGGACAAAGAAAAACTTACGCATTAATTGTCGAAAACCGGGATAAATCATATACAGAAGTCGTAAGAGGTATTAAAGAACAAATGAAGGGGAAGGCGGAAGCCGAAAAGATAGAAGGAATAAGGCAGACAAGAGATGGAAAATATTAGTAGTGACGAAAAGAGACAAAGATGCTACTGAAAAGATGGAAGAAATATTAAACAAAGAAAAGGGACAAAATGTTAGCTCCAGGGGAATAGAAGAGAGAAAGAAGAGAGCATATATATGCATAAAAGGAATGGAAATAACCACGCAGAGGGAAGAAGTAATAGAGGCAGTGAAACAGCGGCTCGGTAGTATGAAAGAAGAAGAATGTAAAATAGGGAAATTGAGGCCGTATGCCATAAGCATGCAAGCAGTAACCATAGAGACCAATAGAGATATAATGAGAAAATTGATAAAGAACGGAAGGATTAGAGTAGGACTGGCAAACTGCCAAATAGAAGAGAGAAGAGACATTAAGAAGTGTCTATTATGTTGGTCACCGACAGATTTAGCAAAAGACTGTCCAAATGAGGACAGAAGAGGATGGTGCTTTAAGCGTGGCGATGAAGGACATCAAACGAGTACATGTGAGAATGAAGAAAGATGCCCTGATTGTAAAGTAAAGGGACATAGAGCGGGAACGGGAAGATGCCCTATCTACCGAAAACTGTTGAAACAAGTCAAAGACAAATACAAAGATAAAAACGTAGAAAGGGAGCAGCAGAAGAAAGAAAAAAATACTCACACAGAAACAAGGATAGAACTAAGAAAAGACACAGATACAGAAATAATCTCCAAAGAGAAGAGAAGACAAAATGTAGAAGTGACTCATGAAGAAGGATTGGAAGAGGTAAATGGAAAAAATGAGCCACCGTGGACCACACAAGGGAAAGGTAAAAGAGGGAAAGGTATTGAAAAGAGGAAGAAAGTAGATAAACTGAGTAGAAGTGAAGATAGCGAAAAAGAAGTGGGAGGCGGAATAGCCGAAGAAACACCACACAACTAAAAATGGCGCAAAATAAAAAAATATCACATAAGAATGGTGCCCCGCACAGAAATAGTAAGGAAATAGAAACAGCTCAAAAAGTTAAAATATACCAGCTTAATTGTAACAGGAGAAGAGTTTGCCACGATCTCTTAGAAAGAGAAATAAGGGAAAAAAACGTATTGATAGTCCTTGGCCAAGAACCGAATAAAAAGCACACAGAAAAGCTGCAAGTTGATAAAAACGGGGATTGTTTCATACAGCTACAGCAAGACGCAGGTAGACCTATTGGATGGTATAGGGGAGCGGGGTATGTAGCGGTAGAGTTAAAAAAGTGCATGGCTATTTCGGTATATTTTTCGCCGAACCGTCCGACTGAGGATTTTGAAAACATGCTGGATAATATTGAAGCGTTAGTGAGACAAAGGAAAAGGCCAATAATAGTAGGAGGCGATTTTAACGCCAGAACACACACCGCAGGGGATACAGTGCTGAATGAAAAAGGAAGAATATTAGACGAGTGGTTAGCAAAATGTAAATTGGTTATGATGAATGTAGGGCGCACACCCACGTATTTAAGCTCAAGAGGAACATCGATCATTGACCTTACAATAGTAAGTCAAGAGATAGCGCAAAATATAAAAAGGTGGAGAGTTGAACTTGACATAGAAATGATGAGCGATCATAACCTGATATCATACGAATTTGATGAATACATAAAAACAATCGAACGACATAACGAGAGGGGCTGGAAGACGACCCCGGTAAAACTGATATCACTCGAAAAACAATTTAGAAAAGAAATCACCAAAATGAAAACAGTAAAGGCTGAAGACCTAACGACCTCGATAATGAAAGCATGCGACAAAACATTTAGAAGGAGAAACTTTATGAGCAACAGAAATAATTACTGGTGGAATACCGAAGTAGCAGAAGTACGGAAGGAATGCATAAAGAAAAGAAGACAACTGCAAAGAATAAGAAAACATAAGCCAACACAAGAAATAGTACAAAAAATGCACGATGAATATAAAGAAACCAAAAAGAGACTCGGCATAGTAAAAAAGCGGAATAAAGAGAAGAAGTGGAGGGAGTTGTGTGAAGAGTTAGAAGAAAATATATGGGGCACAGCGTACCAAGTAGTGACGAAGAGACTGGGGATAAGGAAAAAAGAACTTTTAGACAGCAAAACGATCGACGAGCAATTTGAAAAGTTGTTCCCGCAAAAAGAGAATATATCAGAAGATAGTGATAGAAGAGAAAGAGAAGAACAAAGAGAGGCTAGAAAGGAAAGGATATTGAAAATAACGTACGAAGAACTAAATAGGGCTATACAACAACTCAAGTCAAAGAAAGCTAGTGGAAACGATAACATAACAAATGAAATATTAAGAACGTGTGTAAAAGCCAATCCAGACATATTTCTCAGTGTATATAACGGCTGCCTTGAAACAGGAGAATTTCCTAAAATATGGAGAACAGCAGTACTTGTGCTCATTCAAAAGCCAAAAAAAAACCCAAAAGATGAAGTACAATATAGACCACTTTGCCTGTTAAGCGCAGTTGGCAAGTTACTAGAGAGAATCATCAACAACAGATTAACAGAACACCTAGAGCAAAATAAAATAATATCTGAAGCACAGTACGGGTACAGGAAAGGAAGGAGTACCGTTGATGCCGTTATGACCATAATAAACGAAGCAAAAGAATGGAAGAAAACATCACTAACTCACCGCGGATACGGGGTGATGATTTTATTAGACGTAAAGAATGCATTCAATTCGATGCCGTGGGCGGTGGTAGGTCGTGCGCTTGAGAGGTGCGCAGCCCCAGAAGAGGTGAGAACACTGATCAAGTCTTACCTCTCAGACAGAACTGTTGTTCTCCCCGACGGGCGCGAAAGAAAAATGACATGCGGTGTCCCACAGGGGTCAGTAATAGGTGGTACGTTGTGGAATATGTGCTATGACACAGTAATAAGAACGAAAATTGAAAAAGGAGTCAGGATAGTGGGCTATGCAGATGACTTGGCGGTTATCGTGAAAGCACCCAACCCAGAACAAGCGAAAAAAAAAGCTGAATACTGCATAAAGATATTAAAAAAGAGGTTAAATGACATAGGTCTTCAATTGGCACCAGAAAAAACAGAACTGGTTATATTGGAAGGCCGAAGAAAATTACAGACAATGGAGATAAGGGTGGATGATGTCGTGATCCACAGAAGTAGGTCAGCGAAGTATTTGGGGGTTCATGTTGACAAGGACCTGCGCATGACTACCCATCTAAACCAAACAGCTGAAAAAGCTCTGAGAATAATAAACGCGCTCTCCGGTATAATGCCAAGAATAGGCGGCCCCAGCCAAGGAAAGAGAAAACTTTTGGCTAAAGTAGTAGAGTCAGCAACATTGTATGCAGCCCCAGCATGGGAGAGTGTACTGAAATTTAAAAAGTATTGTAGACTGCTAAGATCGATAGAACGGAAAACATGCATACACGTAACTTCGGCGTATAGGACCGCATCGACGGAAGCAGTAGGTGTATTGGCCGGGTGTCCTCCCTACGATCTTCTGGTCTGGGAGAGAGCCCGTAACTGGGAATCTAAAGGGACCAAAAAGGAGGTAAACAGAGAAGAGATGTATCGACGATGGCAGGAGAGGTGGGAGAGATATGAAGGATGGGCGAAACACTTCATAAAAGATGTTAAAAAATGGCAGAAACAGGGACCTAACACCAATTATTATGCAACCCAGGCAATATTGGGCCACGGTATATTCGGACAATACCTGAAAAAAATCAGAAAAAGAACAACAAGCGAGTGTTGGTACGGATATGAAGCAGAAGATACTCCTGGGCACACGATATTCGAATGCACACGATTCGAGCTCCTAAGAAAGAGTGCAGAAATAAGGATGGGACGAGAAATTAAAATAGAGAGCATACATGAGGTGTTGATAGAAACGAGAGAGGCGGGGGAAGAAGTAATAGACCTTCTAACCAAGATAATGAAGGAGAAGGAGGCGGAGGAGAAACGAAGAGAGAGCGAGGAAGGAAAATTCAGCCTGGAAGAGTAAGTTGAAAAGACATGGGAAGAGGAACAACAGTGAGGGGGCATCCGCTCCCTCATTCGGGTATGAAATAGAAACAATGAAAGTCAAAAAATTAATAGATTCCTATGTCCACATGAATGCCGGACCACGAGATGGAAGAGAAGACCAAAGAGTTGAAACATGATGGATGAGAAGAAGATGACGAACAATTGAGAGGGCACCCGCCCTCTCATCCAGGTACGAATAAAAAAGTGAATAATTCAAAAAATTTATAAATTCCTATGTCCACATGTACGTTGGAGGAAATGAGGGACGATTCCATAGAACCGTGGACGAGAGGAAGAAGAGGAATAAATGAGGGGGCTTAATGAATTAAAAAAACAACAATTCAGAAAATTAATGGATTCCTATGTCCACATGCACGCCGGAGCAAATGGGAGATTGGACTGCGAACGAAGTCGGCTGGGGTTAAGCTAATGATAAGAAGGGTCGAAAGTCAGAGTAAAGTGAGAACGTGAGAGATTAATGGAAGTAAAGGGAGCGAAAGACGATGAAAAGAAATAAATATATATACAACATGTAACCGCAGACTGTCCGATGTGATGCGCGAGCGATTCCGGATAGCCAAAATCAAGGGTACGCGAGGAAAAGAGGGGGAGTTTTTAGTGCGGTAGGCCTGGCAAACAACACCTATGCCAGGAGAGTCCCACACTCCCGATCGGATAATTTTCCCAGGCGCTACATCCGGTCGGGGCTCAGTCATAAAGATTTTCTCCTCCTCTGCACCAAAAAAAAAAAAAAAAAAGGGTTGGGTTGGGTTGGGTTCCCCTCAGGGGCCCAGTGAGGAGTCAATGGGTACGGGCTTAGCGAACCCGAGGCCGCCTGAGCTCGAGGAGCATACCTCGTTAAAAAACTGGGGTCCGGCTGGCCCGGCCGGTAGCACCCCACAAAGGGCTCCGTGCCTGGGACACAGGTGAAGCCGGAGAAGAACCAGGAGGAAGATGTTGCCAATGCCGGTACGGCGCCGGACAGTTGTGAGGTGTGATGTTATGTTTATGTTGGACAGAATCGAGAATGGACTAACGAGAAGAAAGGAGGCACCTAGGCCCCCTCGACCGGGTATGTTTGGTAAGTTAAAACTTTCTTAAATTGATATGGATTTTTTTTCTTGGCCCCCGACCCATAACAAGGACGGATCAACAAGAACAGAGGGGGCATCCAGGCCCCCTGCACCGGGTATGTGTGACCGAGGACGAACCAATAAGAAGAGAGGGGCACCTGGGCCGCCTCGACCGGCACGAAGAACGAAAGAGAAGAAAATGTGGACGACCTTTTCTTCGATGCTGTCAATGTCTTCAATGTTTTTATGTTAATGTGTTTGTCGCTCTTGGTAGCTACGCCCTGAAGGAATGTAGGGGTCGGCGAGGCTCTGGCTATTTTAGAGTTTTATTTAATACACCTCGTAAACTGCCAGTAGTTTGAAAATGGGGGGAATGGTAGGCCCCAAACAGCCTCCAATCAATGCAATGCCTAATATAAGCAAAGCCTCGGATACGTGCACCGGCCAAGCAGCGTCATGCACAACGCGCGGAGAAGGGTCGACTCCGAGTGCTTATGAAGACCAACCACAACAGTTACATGGTCCTGCAAGCCAGGGCAACGAAGATGAGGAAAACATCTTTAGAAGAAGTTCTCTGATTCCACGAGAAAGACCATCACCGCAGGAAAGAGAACGAGCCAGGTCATGGCACGAAGAAAGAGAAGGGAGGGAAAGCAAGGAAGCAGAGGAAGGTGATCGAGATCGAGAAGGTAAAAGAAAACAGCGAGATAGTCTGGAGAGGGAAATGAAAAGAACGAAGGAAGAAGACCAAAGAACGAAAGAACCGATACCCACGGGGGAAACGAAAGAAATCATATTAGAAGCGATGAAGAAGATGGAGGCCATGGTGGGATGTATTCAACAGAACACCTCAGTTCCTCTTAAGAACAACATCCGAGCCTTCCAGAGGACTATAACGAAACTCCAGAGAACGTACGAGAGAGAGGAGCGACAAAGAATAGACAAAATCGAGCAGCTGACGAGGAAGATAGAAAATATAGAGATAAATATGGCCAAAAGCGACGAGGCAGAAAGGACGAACAGCCGCCAGAACAACGAAACCTGTACACAAACTGAGTCCGAAAACGAAGAAAGGGCGAGTAAAGAGCGTCAAAAGATTATGGAGTACCTCAGAGGAGAAAAAAAACCCTCGAAATTATTAGAAATAATCGACCTCAAATGGGAGGAAGAGATGTTTAAAAGAGCGAAATGGGAAGAAATAAGCGAGAACAGTCACGTAGCCCCCGGCGCAATAATCTTCGTCGAAGCCGAAACGGAAGAGATAAGCGACAATAAGATAGTCCAGAAATTCTTGGACAAAGAGACGAGAGACGAAATCAAACAAATAAAATGCATAAAGGAGGGCGAATACATCAAGATCGCCAGGAATACCACCATAACGTGGAGTGACAAAACTTCGAGGCAGAGGAAAAACGTTTACGTAATTGGAGTAAAGACGAAAGAGGAACCGAAAAGCGGAATAAACGGAGACCTGTACGCTAATCTGGAGGCAATATTTAATGAAAGCGCCAAAGGAGAAACAGAAACGACCAGACTCCTTGCACTGAGCGATAAGAGAAGCGAGAAGACTCGTAAGATTATAGAATATCTAACCGCAGGCCTAAACGTAAGGGTAGCCTTAGAAACGCAGGAGCACGAAGATAGTAAGAGAGGTACGTACGCCGGTGCCGCGAAGGCGAGCGGCAAAAATGAAACAGTACAGAAACTATATAACAAAAAAAGATACGTAGAAATAAAATTACAGGAGGGTCACGAGTACGAAGAAACGCTCAAAAGGCTTAGGAAAGCAATCAATATAAAAGACACAAATGTCAAGGTGGAAGGGATTTTTAGAACGAATGAGGGCAATATTAGAATTGCAATAATAGAAAAGATACCGGGTGCGTGTGCCGAGTTTAAGACAAAGGCAGAGAACCCTCTTCAGCTGCAGACCACCGTTAAAGAGGTAATGGGAAGAACGACCACCTTTATCATCCGAGACCTGGATAGCGCCGTGACAGAAGGAGAAGTAAAGCGGGGCATCGAGGAAGCCACCGGTATAACGTTAAGAGAGGGACGCTACACAATCACCATAAAGCCGGACCCGAAAAGAAAGGACAGTAAGATCGCATATACCACCTTGAACCGCGACGAAGCGAGAACCCTGACGGGAAAGGCGAGGATAAATCTTGAGTGGGCTAGATGCCGAATCAGCGAGTTAATTCGACCCGACAGATGTTTCAAATGTGGTAGCCTTCAACACGCTATCAAAGATTGCGAAGTAGATGGCAAAGAAAGAGAAAAAGATCGCTGCTACAACTGCCATAAGAAGGGGCACAAGAGAAGTGAGTGCCAGCATGAAAGCTATTGCACCGACTGCGACGTAGTGGGGCATGCGATTAACACTATGAAATGCCCGAAGTATAGAGAAGCGGTCGTCAGAATTCGGGAAGAAAAACGAACGGCCCGAATAGGTAGCGTGGCCGAACGGCAAGTCACGCATAAAGAGAAAGAACCCGAAAAAAAGAGAGAGCCCACTAGTGAAGACCGAATGGAGATCGTAGATGAGACTGCCCCGCGAGAAGCGGAAAACACGGGGCAGATGACGTCGGGACAAAGTAAAGAGATAATGGTCACAGAGGAAGAGTTTAAGGTTGTTAAAAAGAAGAAAAAAGAAGGAAAAGGGAAGGGAAGGGACGCGGGGAGTCCCCAAGACCGACACTAAAAATCTCGAAATGGGCAGCATCAATAAGAAAACGTCAAGAAATCGGAGGTCGAACAGAGGGGGTACGAGACAGAAAGTTGTGACAAATAAACATATGATAATGCAAACGAACGCAAACCGTAGAGTGGAGGCCATGAACCTGATGGAAGAGGCAGCCAAAAGAAGAGGAGTAGATATACTCATAACATCGGAGCCAAACAGAAAAAAGATAGAAGGAGGGGGATGGATCAGCAATGGTAACAAAGACGTTGCAATGAAAATTATGAGTTCAAAAATACGTGTAAATGCAGAAAAACATGGAGAGGGCTTCGTAGCACTAAAAACCAGCATCGGACTGCTGATGGGATGTTATCTGTCACCAAACGAATGCATAGCAGCATTCGAAGAAAAATTAGAGGAAATCACAAAAACCCTAGATCAAATGGCCGAAGCAAACGCCGTTATAGCAGGCGACTTCAATGCCAAATCCCCAGCATGGGGAGCACCGGCTGAAGATAAGAGGGGCAAAATCCTTACGATGTGGATGGCAGAACGGGGTCTTGTAGCCGCCAACGAGGGCACTGAGCCGACATGGAGGAGGGGTGAGCAAGCATCGTATATAGATGTAGCAATGTATAGTACGGGAAAAAATGTTAGAATAACTGATTTCGAAGTATCCACAGAAGAAAATCTTAGTGACCACGCCAATATATTCATGACGATTGAAACTAAGGGACAACAGATGGCAAACAGGGTAAAATGTGAAAAGAGATGGAGAAGAAAAGAGCAACGCGTAAATGACTTTCGAATGGAATTTAGTAAAACGATGCGAACTGTAAACAATGCAACACCCGAACAACTGGTTGAAATTACCACGACAGTTTGCAATAAAATCTATGGACCGAAGAGAGAGGGGAACAGATTTTCTGGGAAGGTATATTGGTGGACCGAGGCGGTAAAGAATGTAAAAGTGAGAGCAACTGCATGCAGAAGGAAATTAACAAGAGGGAGAAAGAAAGGCAGCATGGAAGAGTGGGAAGGGCTAAAAAAGGAATACGAAATAGCAAAGAAAGATCTCAAAAAAACTATTAAGAAGGCAAAGAAAGTAGCATGGACAAAACTGTGTGAAGAACTGAATGATGATACTTGGGGGGACGCTTACAAGATTGTCCTGAAAAGAACAAGAAACATAACTCCTATACAACTAGATAAGGAAGAAATAAGAGGCATTATTGAAAAGCTTTTCCCTGGAAGAAAAGAAAACGCACAGAGAAACAATGCTAGAGAAAAGAGCTTGCAGGGAATAAAAGAAACATCAGCAGAGGAAATAACTTGTTTAGTCGCTAGAATGAAAAACCGCAAAGCCCCAGGTAAAGATTCCATAACAGCTGAAATGATTAAGGACGTCGTGAATGCGGAACCCAAAATCCTTGCCGATATTTTCAATAAATTAATGAAAGACAATATGTTTCCCAAGATCTGGAGGGAGGGAAGGCTGGTTCTAATCGAAAAACCAGGAAGTCAACCTAGTCATGACAAAAAATATCGACCATTGTGTATGTTGGACACATATGGCAAATTGTATGAGGCACTGATTAGAGAGAGGCTGGAGAAGGAGATAGAAGATAAGGGCGGATTCTCAGAAAACCAATACGGCTTCAGAAAAGGACTATCCACTGAGTCCGCAATCGAAGCAGTACTGAATGTAGCAAAGAGTTGTGAGAAATTCAGAAGAGGGAAAAAGAAGAAATGTATTCTGGTTACTCTTGACGTTAAAAATGCGTTTGGATCGGTCTCTTGGAATGAAATAATTAAATGCCTAGAAAGGAAGAAAATATCTATATATCTGATAAATATAATCACAGAATATCTTAGTGAAAGATTTTTAACATATGAGGGTAATAAATACGCTATCTATGGGGGAGTTCCACAGGGATCCATATTGGGGCCCATCCTATGGAACGCACTTTTCGATGATGTCTTAAACGATGAAGAAGATAATAACGTCAAAAAGATTGCATATGCCGATGATCTGGCTGTAGCGGTTGCCGAAGAAAACGTGGATAGACTGATAGAAACAGCGGAGAAAGCCATAAAGAACATCATACTCAAGATAGAAAGTAAGGGTCTACAAATTGCCGAAGATAAAACAGAAGCAGTTCTACTTAAAAGTAGAAAACACGGAGGCGAAGTAAACATCCAGGTAGGCCGAACAACAATTACCACACAAAAGGCGGTAAAGTATTTGGGCGTTTTTATTGGCAGAGACCTGAAATGGGGACACCATGTTGATGCTGCGGTTGGAAAGGCAGAAAAAACAACTCACTGTCTCTATAGAGTCATGGGATCAACGTATGGCCCTAGGGAAGCCACAAGAAGGGTGATAGCAAGCACCATCTATTCACAACTGCTGTATGCGTGTAGGGCCTGGATGGATGCGATCGAAGTGAAAAAACACACGAAAAAACTAGAGAGCCTGCAGCGCAAGATCTTACTCCGTGTATCGAGTGCTTATCGAACGTCATCTACGGAGGCGTTGCAGGTTCTGACGGGAACGCCACCGATCGACCTTATGATCCGGAAAAGGGCAGGCAATAGAAATGAGGCTGATATCATGCGAGAGTGGCAGGCGAGGTGGAGCGAGAACACTGGCAAAGCGTCGTGGACAAAAAGGATTATCAAACAGATAACCAACTGGAGCCAAAGAAAATGGGGCGATGTTAATTATTACACAAGCCAGTTGATAACAGGACATGGATGCTTCAGGCAACATTTATATATCCATAGACGGAGTAGGAGTGACTGCTGCCCTTACTGTGGTGAAATGGACAACGTGGAACACACATTCTTCCAATGCCCTAGATGGAGCAGCGAAAGACAACGACTTGTGGCCAACCTACGGGAGTACCTGACACCGGAGAACGTGATCGACACCATGTTGGAAGACGAGGAGAGTTGGGAGAGGATCGACGGATTTGTGAAGCAAGTGATAAGTGCGAAAGAGAAGGAAGAGAAAACGTTGTGCGCAGGTGCAGTGTATATGTCGTGAAGTGTGGTGTGCTGCAGTGAAAGTGAAGAGTAGTTAGAAGTGGTTATGGTTTCCGCCGCCCGCGCGATGGTTAAAGCCCGGAGGGGCATTCCGCACGGGAGAGGGCGAAGAAAGAGGGGGAGTTTTTAGTGGGTATCCTTGACCGACAACATCGAGGTCAAGGGAGTCCCACAGTCTCGGTCGGATGAGATTATCTCAACAATAGGCGCCATTCCCGGCCGGGGCTCAGTGCATCAAGCATTTTCTCCTCCTCTGCGCCAAAAAAAAAAAGGGTTGGGTTGGGTTGGGTTCCCCTCAGGGGCCCAGTGAGTCACTGGGTACGGGCTTAGCGAACCCGAGGCCGCCTGAGCTCGAGGAGCATACCTCGTTAAAAAACTGGGGTCCATCTGGCTCGGATGGTAGCACCCCATAAGAGCTCCCGCCTGGGATACAGGCGAAGAGAGTTTGTTAGCCAAGACCGGTACGGCTTCTCCGGGAACGTGTAGTGTGTGTCCTTGTGTCTGGTGCGTGTTAAATACGTGTTCAGTGTAAGATCGACGCGGCTGGGAGGATCCGGGGAGTGCTCAAAAACCAGGAGAATGCTTCGACTCCTGGGGAGAGGGCTGCTGTGAGCTTGCTCTGCTGAAGGTGAGTCCACGTCGTGGTCAGGTACCAGCCCCTTCGGGACCTTGGTCGGGTAGTGGACACTGGGTGAGGAGGGTCGGGACTCCTCATCGATACGGGCGAGTGCCTACCGTCTGGGTATCCGGGTAGGTTAAGCGGAGGTCGGGCCTCAGGGAACTGGGGCAGGGGAGATTTCCCGAGGGTATACCCGTTCCTGATCAATCCGGCCCGCCCCTTTGTCCACGATGCGCCGGTAAATGGGTAGGATGGATAAAGAAAGAAGCATTGAGATTGTAGGAGAAGCTACGGGAACAGAGACCGAACGAAGAGAGAGCGGGAGACGATCTTTTAGATACGAACCTAGCGCGCATAGAAGTAGTTCTGTGGGAGACGCCTTTCAGAAAAAAAGGAAATGCATGGATATGTCTATGGAGAGTAGAGATCCCTATGCAAGCAAAGAAAGTGCCGAGGCATTCGTACTAAAGGAGGCCTTGGATAGTATTTCAAAACTAAATAATGATTTGCAGAGAAACATTGAGCAAAATACCAAGAAAGATATAAAAGAAATGGCTATAAAGCTCAAAAGACAGATAGAAATAATTAACCGGAAATCTATAAGGGAATGGCTGGAGAGACATAGATATGAGCCAATAGAAAAAATGACATTTGACGTGGAAACTCAAGTGGACATTAAAAATAGCTGCGAGATTATTGAAAGAAAGTTGCATATGGACGAGGTAATGAATACCTACGAAGATTCATTTCACTAACACGGAAATATTGAAGGGCAACCCACTCAATGTGAAGGACGGTACTGCGATGGTGGTAATTGTGGATCCAAGCGATGCTCAAATGGAGAAAGGAGTGCAGAGACTGTTTAAAACTCGTTTCCCTGAACTGGAGGAAATTAAAGTGAGCTTTGGGACCGTCGAACAGGAGCATAAAATTAAAATAAATAACATGGTAGAGAAAAGACACAGAAAAGTCGTAAAAATACAACATAATGGACTAGAACGGGAACTGTTCGAAAATGTCGTACGATTAAAAAAGGAAATACAGGGATCTGAGTGGGCTGCATTACATAAAGTCAACGGCACCGACACAACAAGACTGAGGAAGATGGTGGAAGGTGTATTCCACTCATCTGGCACTAAAGTCATGATTTACACACCAGATAAAGAGGAAGAAAATAGAGATAAGGGGCCAGCAAAGAAATCGTATGCTTTAATTGTGGAAAATAAGGATAAAACCTACAAAGAAACACTAAAAGAAGTGAAGCAAATGATAATAAACGAGAAGATAGGGGAAGGCATTAGAAGCATCCGAAGCACCAAAGAGGGCAAACTGTTGATCACCACCGACAAAGAAG